TGGACTTGATGATCTTTAGGTCTTTTCCAATCTAAAATATTCCATGACTGTTGCTCACTTACCTCTTCAGGCCTCCCCGGTTTTTGGGAACATCCTGAATCAGCTTTTTATGGTACTCCATCAGCAGCTCATGGAGCCGATCCTCCTTTCTTTCACTCTCGCCCACTGTTTTCGCCGTCAGCTCCAGCAGCTCGGTGCTGGTCTGGAAAAGCCTGCAAGCGTAGCAGGTGGATTTGGCAGTTTCCATCTTGTCACCCGTCAGCACCCAAACCTTCATGCCGGCTGCGTGCAGAGCTTCTATCGTCTCTGCCGACTGCTCCTGCAGCCTGCAAGCAGAAGCCAAACATCAATCCTCAGGCTGGCCCACAGTTAATCCATATAACCCTTATTTTGCTGGTAAGAAATACCAGCTAGAGAGGAGTTCATTGATTTTCCCTGTTCTGGAGAGACCACTGCCACAGGAGTAAGGATTAGAAGTCAGCAATCCCAAATTCTTATTTCCAGCCAAAAAGAAAACCACTGCATTATACTGTGAGACCTAAGAGTCAAGAATAAGTGTTTAATTTACACATGCAGTTACTACAACTGGATTTGTTTTGATGTGCAAATTAACGCTGCACGCTTAATTCACTTTCTAGAAGCACACGTACTTCTGTAGTTTCATTAATAAATCCTAATTCCTACTACACCAGCCAATTTGAGCAACTAGGGCACTGTGTAATGGGTTGTACCACTGAGTAATTAATTGCCCATGACACTTGCAGCATCTGCCTGGCTGCTCAGTTCCACGCCACGGCGAGTCAGGGCCACGATGCAACACCGGGGAGAAACCGCAGGTACCAGTGTCACCTGGTGGTGGGGGTCACCTCTTTACCTGTCTTCTACCGCAGTAGCCCCAATCAAGTGCATGTCTGCTTCTGTGTCTTCAAAAACCTTTGCCATCTTTTCCTCCCTGTCCTGCAGAGCCATCTTAGCTTCATTAAGTTGTCTGTCAATTTTCTCATACTCCTTTTGTGTTAGTTCTTTGAATGCCACGCAAAGCGTTCTGTAGCCATCCTTGTAAGGAGAGGGAAAGAAAATAAAAGTGGATAAGTGCCTTAAACCAGATTTTTCTACAGCTTCTCACTTTAGGGCTAGTGCTTTTCTCCACCATCAGTGCTTTCTGCCAGTACTGACCCTGATAGCAATGATGATTTGTTGGCTTGAGTCAAAAGACCAATTTTTTTGTGTTTATACAGTAACTTCTTCCCATCATAGCAACCATGGTTATGCTTGTAATGTGCATGTAACACAGCAGAAAACAGGAGAAGGACCAGAGCCAAGAGCGTGCATCCAGCAGGGATAGTGGGGACCAGGGTGTCCCCACGACTGGGACCAGGCTCTTCTCCCCCTGGAGAAAACAGCCTGCTATTGTTATTTCTATTTTTAACTTGCTTGGCAGATGCTGGGACACAACTGTGACGGAGACCATATAAGTATATTGAAAGTCAAATAAACGTTGGAAGCCAAAGAAACAGAAAAGGAAAGAAGCCTGGCTTCCAAACAATGTGAGGTGACACTCAGATTTTCAACACTTCCCTCCAAAGCAAGGTCACATCCTTATTTTCGGAATAAGGCTTTCCTGACCCCAGGAGCCAGCCAAATTCCAGCCGCATGCTCACCATAGCGTTGCGGTCCACGTGGACTTTCGTTTGCTGGATTTCTTCCTGCTGCACCCTTGGAAAAATAGAGGAATCTGCTCCTTTACAGAAGAGAAGCAACTTTCCTAAAAGCAAATAATAAACAGTTTATAGCATTTACGAGGTGTGGAAAGACTTAACAGATTCAATAGCCAGCAAGTGATGCAGAGGGAGGAAATCTGGCAGGACTAAAGAAGGAACTGGTAGAAGCCCGTTTGCCTACCAATCATGGCCTTGCAATAACCCCTGTTTGACCCCAGGCTGGGATATGGGGTGTCCTTACCTGCCTCCGAGCAAACTTTCTGCAACAGGCTGGACAAAGCAGTTTATTTAGAAGCCTTGGCAACCTTTTCAGGAAGGGTAAAACCAGCATCCCATACCTTACGGGACTGACATCTGAGAAGGATGGTGACCTCTGATTTTCTGTCTGCTATTCCCATGAAAACCCATCCTGCTCAGGGGAAGGTCTCACATAGTTCCTCCCTGTACTTGTACCTCCAGGCTGGAAGAAGGCGAGCAGGGAGCTCTTCATGGGTCCCTGTCTCCATCTCCCCTTAGCAGCCATTGGGGGCCAGCAGCAGATATGGAGAAAATTAACTCTATCCCAACCAGATCCAGTACAGAATTTAATCAGACCAGCTTAGCCTCTGCGTTACAGCACGTGGCATTACGCACGCTCAGTAGAGGAATAAAGAGGCTGTGTTTTCTATCTGTGGACACTGTCCAGAAATGGGTTTTAACCTTACCCGTAGTGGTTCTCACAATGACACTCATACGACGACGGACAGGATCGAAGTTCAACACATGGAGAAGTTGGTACCTTAAAAAAAACCCAAACAAACAGTGCTTAGACTCAGTAAAAGAAAAATAGCTATTTCAGACAGAAAATCACTAACAACGAGCTGCAGAAATCAATACGCCCTACGAGTGGCAGCACCCACGGGGCAACATACTTTTTACAGCTACTGCAGAGGAAAGCCACATAAAAAAACCCAACTCCAGCGCTGCTTTGAGCAGGGGGGTGAGGGTGTGGGTGCACACCTGACACCTCCCACCAGACAGCAAAGCTTTGGGTTGTAGCCTGCGGCTGGGCTCCATCTACTCCCTGCCCATGGATGCACAAGCAGTTCCTGGCGTTTAAACAAGGAGTTTCGCCGTAAGGAGGGTAAGAAGTGAAACTTGCTTGTGAAGACAACTTCTCAGGGGGTGCTGGGATTAGGTCAGTGACTCCCAGATGTCCCCCGAGCTGTGAGCACAGGGTAAAGTCTGCTTATTTCCAGCTCATGAGGGGAAAAAAGTTAGAGGGAAGGGAGCCATATCACACAGTTTAGGCTTAGGAGTACGCTGCTGCGAGGCTCAGCCGCTGTCCCTAAGGTCAGTAACCACCCTCTGCATCCTGAAAGCCGCCCGCACAGCCGGGCATGGATGAAGGATACATGCAAGGGCCTGCAGGCACATAAGGGACCTGAATTTAGCCCTCACTAAAACCAACAGCAGATGTTTGCAAGCGAGCCTTCCAGCCTGCACCTTGCTGTGCCGTGCTCTGCCAAGAGGACAGGAGTTTTCGGGCAGGTCAGCATGGTCTGAGGGCCCTCACAGAAGAGCTCTGAGCTGGCTGGGTGGGCCACGCTGGCCAAACTGGACTAAGCTGTGCGGGAGGGGGTGCAGCACCAGCACCCCCTTTCTTGGCAGCCCCTGCAGCACTTACATTTCGGTTTCATTCTTTTGGTTTCGTATTTTCATGAAATCATTTTCAAGTCCTAGAAAAGTGAAACCATACCTGTCAATAAACAAAAGGACAGAACAACATTGAAAGCACCCATTGGCACATATTATATATTAACAGCCTTCTCGTTTCACCTCCTGTACTGCGGAGAAGAGCAAAGCTAGAAAGCCAGAGCTAAAAAGCTTGGCTAGATGTTTGCTTGCTCCACACAGGCTGCCATGATGTTCTGGCACTGCTCCCATCACCTGTAGAGCTGGGCACCGCAGGGCACAGATGCTGAGAGCCTCTGGACACAGGCCCCTGAGACTCCGGCAGATTTACAAGCCATGAGCAAGTGTATACAGCTGCGACAGCCCCCCCTCTAAAACCTATGGGCTGCAAATAGCATGGAATCACAGAATGGTTTGGGTTGGAAGGGACCTTAAAGATCATCCAGTTCCAACCCCCCTGCCATGGGCAGGGACACCTTCCACTAGACTAGGTTGCTCCAAGCCTCATCCAGCCTGGCCTTGAGCATCTTGGGCAGGATTCAGATGTGGGTTTGATAAAATTCACCCATCCTATTATTTTGTCACTGCGCACCAAGGAAGCAATTTGGCTGTAATATATGCACTGGTCTCCACTTCTTGGGGATTAAAACACATGGCCATGGGGGCTCCAGCAAAGGACCCTCTGCCCCATCGCCTTGGGGCTGCTCTCAGCAGTGAAATCAAACCACGGCCTCCCAGGAAGCTGCTCGTGGAGACCCTCTGCAGAGCATCCTTTTTACAGAGAGCTCATTTTAAACCCACAGGCTCACATGGCTTCACAGGGCTGAGGGTTAGGCCCTCCTCAAGATGGAGTCTTGACTGAGGGAAAGGGTTCTGCCACCTTCAGATAACCCTCACCTCGCTCCCACTGGGGGAGAGGGAAGAAAAAACCCCAACATCTTCACAGTCTTACTTTTCTGCGCCTTTCACCAAAGCAATTTCATCCGGGGAAGAGGAGATATAGGTGTATTTGCGTTCTGGATGTCCTATCAGCCCATCCACCTGGTCTGCCTCCTTGATCTGCACGGTGTGGCACAGGCAGAGGGCTCGCAGGAACAGCTCCTCGCGGCTCTAGGCAGGAGTGAAGGAGGGCTCGTTACCAGCTCAATGCCATGCACCGAACCCACCTCCCAGCACTTGGTTGTGATTTCTGTGTATGCAGATTTTAAAACCAACCCCACCCCACCCTCCCAGCTTCTGCTGTGTTTACCCAGCCAGGAGCTGACCACAAAACCCTAACAGTCATCAGCACGCTGGTTTCTTACCTTTTCTGCTTTGCCATAATATTTTAGAGGCCCATCGGTCTGAGAGAAGCCATCCACCTCCGAAATGCAGTCTTGGTACTTGTGCCCGTCTATGCAGCACTCGATGAACTCCATGCTGTTCTCCGTCAGGGTCCCGGTTTTGTCCGTGAAGACGTACTCCACCTAGAAGTAAGCAGGCAGGCTGCCTTGCTGCACCCCAGCCCCACGCACCAGGGAAGGCGCGTCCCCAAAACCGAAGAGGCTGGGGCATTTTAGAGCATCTGCTATCCTAACCTGGTCCCCCAAAACCACAGGTGCCCCATGGGACATACAACACTGGGTAGTTTTACTATTTTGCTTCTCTGACCAGCTCCTTTGTTTTCGAGTGGTTTTGCACGGGTGGCAGGAGGCAGATCCTGAAGACTTAAAATCTGTTTCCAGGCTCTTTGTTTTCCCCTCATCCTCTTTATGAGGTATTTTGCTATAGCTCCTAGTGCATATATAGCTGCTCCTGCAGGTCTGCTGCCTCCTCTGGGGGGGTCTTCATCTTGGTGCTGTATTTAAATGAGTAATTACTACTCAAAATTGGGTTTTCAGGGTTTTTTTTTAAGCAAAACAAAAAGCAGGAGGCCCTACTGATAGCCCCCACTCATTCTCTCCTGACATAGATTCAAAAGGCAAAGCCAGCAGCAGCACGGCTGCATGTGCACTACATGCCCTGAGACACAACTGGGCAGGCATTTTTGTTAATCCTCAAAGAGACACGGGATTTTTAATTTTTAATTGAAGCAGCGAAAGCAAACCACCCTGACACGCAGAGCGCTGCGCCTGATAGTCCCCAGTATGGAAACAATTGGCATGACCCAATTCCTGCTCTTTCATGCACTATTTATAACCTTATCCATTTTGCAGAGCGAGTGGAATCACATTAAATGGAAAGCACCACCAAACCGGCTGAAGCTCTGCCCCGAGGGGACTGCGAGTGACTGCCACAACAAGGTTTCCTATCACAGAGGACATTTTCATCCAAGCAGATGCAAACAGAGCACATTCTGACCTGCCCCAGCTCTTCGTTCAGGTCTGAGGTGTTCACCAACGCCCCCTCTTTTATGTCTTCGTCGTACATCTCCTTGTCCCAAGAGATGAAGAAGGAACCCAAGAACTTCTGCATCTCTACTGTAACGTACATGGAGACTGGGATAATAAAATTGAAGAGGACCATAAAGGATAAGAAATCCGTGAACATCCGCAAGACCTGCAATGGAAAGAGGAGAAGATGCAGTCTGTGCCATCAGGTGTAACTCAGGGGTAGTTTACAGCAACACCTCTGGGGTTTTTGGGGTTTTAGACAGCTTTACTCCTAAGGTTAAATAGACAAAAACAACCTGAAAATGAATACAGCTAAGATCAAGGGCCAAATGCCGTTTTCCTTTGATGCAGAAAACCTCACTGTCTCCTGCAGATCTACACGGGCATAACACAAGAGTATATCTCACTGCTTCATAGTGATGAAAACAATGTTTTATTCAAGTATATTCCTCTTAAGAACATAGTGCTACAGGCTCATTTTGATCTCAAGTAACTAGAAACAAGGAGCGAGTGGCTTGAGACCAGCCAAGACTGATGCAGGGACATCCCTCTAAGTCCTACTCAATAATCCATCAAATAACCGATTTCTGCACACTTACACTCACTCTTTCAGGCTTGACTGCCCACGTCTCGGCAAGTTTAAGAAGCCAGTTGACGTGGCCTCAATTTAAGTTTACCCACTCAGAGCTGAAAGACAGCTCAAGTTCAGATAAGGATCCAGGTTAAATGGGCCGCTGCATTTCTGTAACATGGAGTATTTATTTATGCTTTGCCCCACTCCACGCAAGCATCCCTGCGCGCAAGCACAAGAGAGGCAGGAAAGAAACACAGACAGCAGCAGAGGCTGAAGGACATGACAGCACTTCCAGCGAGCAAACAGGACTCGCAGGGGCCGGCAGCAGACACTATCAGATTAAATAAAACCGTCAGAATAACGAACGCTGGGGGAGGTGCTCAAACACAAATCCACTTACCTTGAACGTCTCCCTCTCTTTTTTAGTCTTTTCGTTGTACCAAGGCTCATCATTAGATGGATTGCTCTGCCAGACATATTTCAGAGTCGTGCACACAGTAGCCTTGCTCAATAGGATGCACAAATACACTATCAAGAAAGCGTTGATAGATCTGAAAAAACAGGTTTCTTTTTTAAATTCTTGCAGCTATTTTTATATAGAAAATCATGCAAATAAGCAGGAACAAGGCTTCCTTACTTTTAAGAAGGGAATTACAGAACAAGTGCTTTTGACAGTGCTGATATTCAGGGCCAGTTCATATATTTTAACATTTCCTAATTTTGTTTTTAAATAAAAAAAAAGCTACTAAATGATGCAACTTCTGGAAAGATACGCTTAACCAAATATACAGATTTCCTATGCAATCAGAGAGCATCTGAAACAAAAGACAGCAGATTAGGGGATTATTTCTGTACAAGTCATCCATGGAAAAAAAACCCCACCAGCTTATACAGATTTTTTTGCTGACTATAAATACTCACTTTTCCACAGCAGACCGTTTCTGAGATTTCCCTTGGTAGTTCAAAGCCATTTTCGTTTCCATTCCAGTATAGACTGCAACTCCTACAGGGTATTAAAGCAGGGCTCATAAGGGACTCGCAGCCCAGGAGGGACCCAGCTTGCATTTAGCCGTAGGGGGCACTGGTGTTTATATGAGACTCGAATCCCAGCTGAAGAAGAGGCATTACCCAAGGGCTGTTCAACTACAGACACCTCTGTGGCTGCTGGGTAGTGTAATTGCATATCTCAGAGCACTCGGCAGGAGCCTATGGATCACATGCAGTCAGAATTATCATCCATCTTCTGTAACAGCCATCAGCCTCAGTCACCAGTGGCCTGGACTGTGAGCCTAGCACACATTTTCAGCAAAGGATTTGGGAACAACTCCCTGCTCTTTGCATCTCAAGGCAAAAGAAAACCTTGCTCAGGTGTGTTAGTACAACCAGAACAGCTTGGCAGCACCGCAGATACAATCAGTATCTCCTAAGTTCAACCTGTAAACTTTGCCATCAGTTTGCACACTGAAGGCAAATGTAAAGCCCTGGCAGACAGGCAGCAGAGCAGCATTTTCCCTCTCCAGATTTAGTGATGAGCATCTACATTTGTCATTATTTGTCAGAACCATTTAAATAAATAATAATAATAAACTGTTCACCATAAATCTTCTTGGTATTTTTGAGGGTAGCACCTTTCAGCAACAGGTTTTCAGGACCCAAAGACCTAAACATGAAAGAAGTTATAACATTACATAACTCAAAGAACATTCAAACGTCTCCATAATTCAGACCCAGAGAGAGATTATAAAGCTAATCAGATGCTCGAGTCGATTACTTGATTTATACGTTAAGACAGGCATTGCTTGAGTTTGTTTTACTCTTTATATTACTTACATTTCCATTTAATCTCATGCAGACTATTTTTGGTGCTCCAAGTTCAAAATTTAATGGGGGATTATCAGTAGGCACTTGAGGAATAAGTGCAAAACGTTCAGATCTAATATGCTCTAGTACTTACACAAAAACTTGATTTTAAAAGCACTTAAAACCTGTCGATCTCAGCACAGTCAATCAATGGTGCCATCAAAGTCAATGGCTTATTTTGTTCCCACAGTGTTTTTATTTCTCTTTGAAAACCCCCATCCATTACCCTCTGGTGCTTCTAGGGTCCAGGTAGATCCACCACAGCATGAAACACGGCCAGCGCCGCTCTGGTGACAGCCATCTGCTTTTGATGACTTCTAAACATTATTTGCTTATTTTTTTCCCCAAACCACATCCTGATTGATGTTTAAGATTTTGCTTTCCCTCAAATAACAATTTTTTTGCAACTGCCTGGTAAAGTTTTTCCCTGTTGGCAGGGAGGACGTTACCGAGCGGTCCTGCACAGCTTCCCCAGGAGGGGCTCAAACAAATTTCAGGAGGGCAGAAGAGCTTAAGTGGTGAGCTTAACTACAACCCCCTCCCCTTAATAAGGAAATATTTGGAATGGTTAAAGAAAACAATCATTCCCTAATGACATCAGCACAAGTTCAGATCCTTGAAATCCGATGTCGATGCCCAACCTCTTTGAGGAGGGCCAGCGAGGCAGCTGCAAGACCAACCTGGCTATGGGCTCTTGGTTGCTTCTGTAGATGATAATTCTTCCAACAAATCTGCAATAGCAATGACAGAAACTTGTATTAAAAACACATTGACCTTATTAGGAGCTGCTACAGACATACTAAGAAAAAAGTCATTGACAGGAGGTGGAAACAAACACATCAGCGAGTGCATCTGAGAGCTGAACACTTCAGAGGGGTTGCTGTGCTTGGGAGAGATGGAAACCACACACTGCCCGCAGCCAGGGTGCCCCCGGCTGCCACCCACCAGCGGAGCAGCAGGACCTGATCCAGCCTAAGCAGCTCAGCCCACTCCCACTGCAGAGAACAACACACCCCAGCAACATCCTTCATGAGATTTAACCACAAAGACAGCTTACTCCTGGAAGTCATTCAGCTACATTCATCCAGCCTGGAGGAGGCTCAGGGTAGACCTTATCACTCCCTACAACTGCCCGAAAGGAGGTTGGGGCAGGGGTTGGTCTCTTCTCCCAAGTAACAAGACAAGAGGAAACAGTCTCGGGTTGCGCCAGGGAAGGTTTAGATTGGATATTAGGAAAAATTTCTTCCCAGGAAGGGCTGTCAGGCATTGGAACAGGCTGCCCAGGGAAGTAGTGAAGTCACCATCCCTGGAGGGATTTAAAAGATGTGTAAATGGGGTGCTTATGGACATGGTTTAGTGGTGAACTTGGCAGTGCTGGGTTAACAGTTGGACTCGATATTAATGGTCCAACCTAAAAGATTTTATGATACTGTGATTTTACTTGGAAGGTAGAGCGGCATAAGAATAGGCACACGGATCATTACTACCACTGAGCTGGCAAAATTACACCACATTACACCACTACAAGTGTTACACCGGGGAGGTTTTGCTCCAAAGAAACTGAGCCCTGAAGAAGTCCAGAGTCCACTTTACCATCCTCATCTGGAAGAAGCCCTGCAGCTTATCGCTGCCTCGGGAACCTTTCAGTCTCTGATGAACAGAAAACACCCTTCATTTGCTGAACTGCAACTGTTGGATCCCCTAACTGAGATGACACCAGGCAGGAGGGGCAGACTCACTTGTAGAGGTCAGGCTGTGGCTGTTCACACTCGATGGTGGCAGTGAGGGTGTCAATGGCTTCATCCGTACAGAGCACAGTGGTGTCCCGCACTGCGTAGTGAGTCTGGGCAGAGAAACAGGCGGTGTCACCATGAGCCCCCAGTAACACCGCCCATCCCCAAGTTTTATACCCCATTACGTAAAATCTCACTGTGCAAAGGCTTGTCAGCGCCAGCAGCTCACCCCAGCCCTGGCCCCTCTCCCACAAAGCAGCTGAAGCATCTCAGAAAAAGACTGAAGTCAATAAGCTTAAGAGAAACGGCAGCAGGGATGTGCTGCTGGGTATCTGTTCTGTAAGGTGTGCACCAAAAGCACAGCATCTTAGTTTTTTCCCTGGGGACTTGCTGCCACCCTGGCTGGAGTTGGGGGGAGGCAGCAGGTGCCTCCCGGGGACCCCCAACCCTCCTGAAGGTAATTAGACACCAGCCCCAGCGCCCAGGGATCAGGCAGAGCACCGACAGACTCCAAGCTATTTTTAGCAGCTGCTGCTGCGAAGGTTCTTCTCTCACAATTAACTGGAAAGCCCATGAAGGATGCGCTCACTGCCTTCCAGGCTCTATTTATAGGAGCTACTCAGAGCTCCAAGTCACGGCGGGCTGCCTCAATCCATCTCCATAAACAAATTCATTAACAAGCTTCCTCCACTCCTTACGTTTGCCTTCCCCTCCTTGCGCATCCCAGGAGGAACCGTTAGGTTACGCACGCTGTAGTCATGACCCCATAAATCCCCACCTTCATGCCGTTTCAGTAACCTTCCTGGCTTTTCTTACTGAAAGCGGACACACACTCCCCTCTGGTATGCATCAGAGTGTTTGTGAAACAACTCAAAACTGTTCCTGCAGTGCCCAGTATCCAACCCTACCGCTGCGCAGGGTTTTGCATCTGCATCTCCTGTCGCCATGGACACTGTGCAATTACTGAGTGGTATTTCAAAGCTGCCTCCTAATCAATTCCACAATCTTTACGTCCTCAGTCCCTCGGTGTATTTAGAAAACACATGTTCTTCTAGATAACGTCTGACCGAAGATTTGCTCTTCAAAGACAGAGCCCTGACTAAATCCCTTTTATAGTTCTGCTCCAGCTTCCTTTAACCAAGCATCTTTCCCATGCCTCGACCTGACATGCCCCAAATACCAGAGAAATCCCCACCAGGTAGGCAGCAGATACCCGTGCAGATGAGGTTTTGTGAGCACCTGACTATGCTTCCCTCACTACCCTTTTGCAGCCAACCCTCGTTCCTAATGTCAGACCTATTTCTCCAAACAGCACTTGCTTTTCTATTCCCTCTTCCCCTTTCAAACTCATCTTCATCTCATCAGGAAACAGGAGACAGCTCCCAGTCACATACAGGAATCCACAAACACAGAAAAAAAAACACCACCGTGCTTGATATAGAAATTCAGCACTACACTTACAGACTCAAAAGTTAGTAAGAGCCAAGATGCTGCAGAACTCACGCATATAATACACCTGACACAAATAAGCAATTGCCTGTTTAACATGATTAGCTATTTTTAGCCTCAAGCCACCTCAAAGCTCCACTCCTCTTCACCAGTGGAACCAGTACAGTGCACCAGCACTGCATCAGCTCCTGCACAAGATTTCAAGTACTAATTAACAGTCTCCCATAAAGAGACCCTGTACACTGCATCTCAGATCGACAGTGGTATTCCCACTAACTTCAGAGCATGCCGGAAGGAATCATGTCATTTTAAAGCGTGTTCCACTCTTAACTACTGCAGCTGCTAGTATGTACATAAATATTTATCAAACACAACCAAAATTTCATGTGTTCTGACGTTGCTGTTGTCGCTGTTTCTTTCTTTAGTTTAGAGAGGCTGAGGATGAATAAAGAAAATAAACTAAGGAGCAGATTCATCCTGAGCAAGACTAATATTGAATTTCACTGCTTGATTCAGGGAGAGAAAAAAAAAAAAGAACCAACCACCAGAAGAAAGATTTTTCTTCAGTTGGTGAAAAATTCCCCACGTGAACCTAGGCATCTTGCCTCAGAAAGTCCCAGATCTCACGCCCGGTTAAACAACAGATGCGTTGGCAGCGGAACGGGAGCCGAAGCAGCTGCAGGCACTGCTTTACCCACGTGCCAGACCCCGCGCCGCGCGGCTGGAGCGGGCAAGCACCAACGCGCTTCCCGTGATCGCCATACAGCAGCGAAGCCCCGTCAATAAAGATCGATTCAAACTGGGGCCGTGCCAGCAGAAACGGCTGTTGGAGACAAAACAGAAACCAAAGAATCCCCGGGGCACTTCGGTGCTGACACACTGGGAACAGGCAGAGGGAAGAGCTGTAAATACAGCCGCAAGGCCAGAGGGATGGGCTCCAGTTAATCACACACCCTCCCCCGCACAAGTGCTGACTTTGGTGGCAGCTCCAGGCACCCGAGTACCCCAGAGCACCAGCTCCCGGATGCCGCCCCATCCATCCCCGTCACCTTGAAATTGGACTCGCCATCAAGACTCGCCGTAGTGACGTAACAGGTCCCGTCAATGCTGCTTGAGGCCAAAAATATCAAGTCACAGGGAAAGGTCTCATCTGCTTTCACTTCTACTATGTCTCCAACCTGGCAGAAAGGAAACGTTTACATGAAGCGCCCTCTCGGTTGTTATTAGATGGTTATGGATTTTGCTGCTCTCTAAGCCTCAGAGAAATCACCTTGGCTAAAAGGGAAATCTGGGTTCAAGAGCGGCACGGGTCCCGGAGCAATCACAGCCCGACGGGCCGATCCAGCCCAGCACCAACTCAGGGCGCCCATGTGGCACAGACTGTATTTATTGCTCTGCTAAATCTCGACAGAGCAAAAGACTCTGTACTTGTCTGAAGCGCGGTGTGATAAACGAACGTGAAAGCTAGTGTACTTTACTGGTGTCCTTGGGAGAGTTGGGAATAGAAGAGGACTGCCTGTCCCGGAGAAGCGCAAAACGCTGACAGATCTGTTACTTGTCAGCCCCAGTACAGCTTTTGTGAGACAGCTTTTCAAAAGCAATCAAACAAAGGCAGCTCGAGCTTAAGCGGGAACGGCTCTCTGAGCATCTCGTCTGAAAGAGAGCACGCGGGGGCAGCTCTGACAGCAGTACATCCCTCCTCCCCTGCCCTCGCCACCTTGCCACGCACCCTCGTGTTCCCAGCAGCTCCAACGATTACCACACGCGAGTTCTCTGTGAACAGTTACCTTGATTTTTTCACTCTCTTTCTGCACTTGCTTTGCCTTTTCGATGATGAAGACATTGCTTTTGTTCACTTCGTTGTCAGCTCTGTGCCTCAGCCAGTCCTCGTATCCCTGGGAACACAAATACAGGCAACACGAACTCGTAACCAAGCAAGTAAACTAATGCCGACGGATGAGCGGGGACAGAGACAGAGACTAAAAAAATGAATAAAAAAATCCAGCAGCCCTCAGACCTCCTCAGTGCCTGACAAAACATCAACCGGGGTAGCTCAGAATGAATCAATTTGTTTTAAAAACTTCATATGCATATTTGACAGATTCAGAACAGATTAAAATAACACACAAAAATAATCTATATGCAGCGCATGCAACGAGCAGCTAAATTACTGTAACGTGTTTCTATTATTCTCTGTATTGGCAAGAACAGGCTGACAATAGGAATAATACACTCAGCACCCTGCGACTCTTTCCTATGGTAACGCAGGATGAGACTCTTCCCCTTTGGTCTTCGCTGAAAGAATAGAACAGTCAGATTTGAAGCAGATAGATTTTACTCTAACTCTCCCTTTCTGGCCCCCGCAGATGAAACTGCTTTTATTATTCAATCCTTCCGCAGAGGAAATTTTAAATGGCACATGTGTGTACGATGGAAAAAGGGCTTTTAACACCGCAAGAGGAAGAAGATGACTACATTTTCGGGGCTAGCTGAGTGGTTAACAGAACCCATCCTTTCCATTTACCAACACGGGAGCAGAGCGCGGGCTATATTTGGAGCACGTCTCTGCAAACACTCAGCGAGCGTTTCTAAAAAGAGAAGACAAATTCAAGTAAAACCAGAACGACAGCACTATCCTTTGCTGACCCTCACGCTTGCTTACTACAGTACCTGCAAAGATGCTTTACGCTGCCAAAAGAGACCAATAACCACACTCAACATGCACCTTTCTCTTGAAAAGCATGTCTGACCTTCTGAGAAGGGTTCACCAAAGCTACCAGCCTGTTTTGATGACTTCTGAGTATATTCAAATACATTTTTTCTACCGTATGTCCCAGAGAGCACCTTCCACACTGACACCAATACCTGTTTGATAGCTGTGACCGTGATGACAAAGAAAAGTGGGAGCCCGCTGGTCACTGGGCTGGTCGGGGTGTCCACTATCACCTGCAGAGAGGAAAAAAACCATACTGCTGACAACTGGTTTTCAGGCAGCAGAAGATATAAAATCTCTGGTAATGGGGGAAAAAGGGTGCTCAGGCCACTGGGGATAAGTCACAGCCCAGCAGAGAAGGGAGAGAAGGAAAGGGAACGTGAGGACAGGCACAGACACCCTCAGGAGTGCTCTCCTTCACAAGAAGACTACAGTCCCTCCTTCTGAAGACTGTGGAATGTCCTCAGGTGGGAAAAAAAAACCCATCAGAAGTAGCTTAAAACCTAATTTGACTTTGCCCCAGTGGGGAAGCCTGGATGGGCTGCTGGGGATGCAATGACTTCAAGTACTGATGCCAACAAGCCTGCTCCAACCATTGGATGCGCTGGAGAGGACTGAGGCAGGGAAGGAGGATGGGGCAGAGGCAACAGCAATGCATGAAGTGAAAAACACCCTCATTTCTCACTGAGCCACAGGAGGGTCATTTGTCCTCTTTGGCAGTGAAGGCAGGGCACAGCTGAAACCCAAAACACAGCTAGTTATGAGAGAGGACATTGTCAGTCATCTTGAACCGCTGACACCCAGAGGTTAAACATAACACGCACCAGCCCAAATTACCTAGGAAATATATGGTAGAATGGAGTGTGAATATTTAAGCAAAACATAAAACCATATTTTGCCTTTAAGCTCTGAAATCTGGAGTTAAGAGCATGATTTAAGCACAGAGACGGCACGAGGGCCTAGGGGTAGATAGCCAGATCCTTCCCGAGCTTGGTGCAGGGCTCACACCATGCCTCGAGCCAGCCCCTTCATCGTTAACTGAACCTTCGGGCTGGGGGAAACTGCTCTTTCTTCTGACTGCATCATGACTTGGCCCAAAGGGGAAGAACAGCAGAACAGGCACATAATGAGGAGGAAATAACATAAGAGGAGGAAAAGCTGTGCCCTTGCCCCACCTTCAAACCAGGACACACTAAATTGGCCATTTTTCCCATTAAACCCGGAAAGGACGGGAGCACAAGAGGCAGATGGTGAGCGCTGTGACAAAAGAGATGGGGAAGCTCAGCAGAAAGGCTTTGTGTCCCCACAAAGGGACTTTGTCTCCCTCCTCATCTGGCATGCTCACAACCAGCAGCATCTGTATATTTATTGCTTTAGGCTGCCCGTAAAATACTGCGTTAAAGACAGGACCGCTCTTATTGGCTGGGAGGAAGCTACGTGGAAATTTTTTAACTCTATGAAATACTACACACAGCCATATTACCTTGCACTACTAGACCTGAAGAGAGAAGAGCCAGAAGATATTGAGGTGGAAGACATACATGACAAGAAGCAGCCAGGTAAGCGGTCTATGAGTGTGAAGGTAAGATAAACCCAATAAGTATTTCCAGGAACAAAGCCCTCATTCACTCAAATGGGTGTAAAATGTCTACAGAGAAGGTCTGGTAGAAACCAGACTTTGGAGGAACAACCTTGAGTGAGGATGGTGCCAAGTGTCACAGGGACATGTCGCACACAGCATGCGTGATGGCTGCTCAGTGGGGTAGCAGCACTGCAGTTGAGGCCAATCAGCCAAAAGTTATCTTGTAAAAATTGGATAAATCTTGGAAACACAAGAACAACTTTGGCTTTTAGCTGAGAAGGGCAAGGGAGAGGACCTCCTGCTGCCCAGCAGGACAGTCTTCTGCACCAGACAAGTTGCAATCATATGTATTTGTTTAAACAAACACTAAAATTCCTGTCCACCCAAATGCTGTATCACAGATGTATGAACACAAATATTAATTAGATGAAGTCCCAGGTATAACTTATTTGTGTATTTGGAGATTGCATCCTGTGGCTGGATACTACTCTTCAGAGCTGGTTGAAAGCTGAGGGACACACAAGCAACGAGCCAGAACTTCAAAGGCAGACTCCTTTGAAGCTATTTTTGAGCTGTTTTAGAACTTCAACAGCTAAATTTGGATCCACTTAAAAGTGACAAGATCCTCCTGTTACTTAATAGTTTCTTCCTAACTCATTGTTTAGGAGACTGAAGATGACAGTCCAGAAGTCATCTCCATCAATCAAAAGAGACATTTTTCATTCCTGACACCTCCTAAATTAGATTACTGCCATCAGCTTGGTCTGTCTACAAACCTACTTGGAGCACACTCACTCCAGGCCTGCCATTTACACCAGGAGTTTACTCACAGTTTCCTTTAAGCGTTGCAATAGATGAACCAAAGAAACAGCTCTTTGTATCCCTGCTAGTGCACTAATAGGTGGTTTATGTTTAATGCATGTGCTTTCTCTCTCTGAAACAAGAGCTGAATTTGGAGTCTCAGACTAACAGACATTTTGATAAAGGGTTTCAGCAGCAGGTACAGCAGATGCACCCAGGCAATTCCCCAAGTGCCACGACACCTCAACTCCTGATACAGCATGTAGGGTGATTCTACTAATTTAAAGAGAAGCACCAACATTTAAGCTATAGATGCCATTTATCAAGGTATAACCCTGTGTATTTTAAATGGAGTTGCCCTGAGTGCTCTTTTTAAGGCAAGTGATACCTCCAGAACAACAAGCAGCCCAGGGCAGTCCGTTACTCTACAGGGCAGTAGTGCGTTAGTGCTGTCAGGCTGGGTTTTCTTCAGCTGGGTTTGTTTTTAATCTAATAGAGCATGAGAGCTGCTCCCTTATTTCAGAGGTAATCACAGAATAAAACCAACGAGGAATAGCAAGGCTCTTCTCTCACCTGCATATCCCTGTGCCTAAAATGGGTAAGCAGCTAAACTGAGACCAGTTTTGTAAGTATAATCAAGAATATCCCATGTTCTCCATGGCCAGAGGGTCAACAGGTAAACGTAATACCACGTCACTGAATGGCCAGCTACACAAAAAGGACATCCTGACTCTGGGGCATCGCTTCAGTTCAAAGCAAATTACAAATTCCCTCTGACAAAACGGAGCAACGTCAGAGATACCAAGCGGTGAGAAGGGCTGTCTGATGTCGGGGTAAGCTGGCCTTTCGGGTAACACTGCCAGGAGGAGCCAACCTCAGCCCTCGTCTTGAGGTTCCCACATTTCTGCAGGAACCACGAAAATGACAAGAAGCCATAACTCTTTACTGTAAGGATACAACATTTTAGGCACTCGTCTTTTGAGCCTGCAGCCTAGAAGAGAGCAGTAATACAGACCTGCACCCCCAAAACCCCAGAGAAGTCATCGAAAAGCAGGCTGTGTGCAGTAGCTGCATGGTGCCATTTAATTTGCTGGGGTAGAGTTTTTGATGCCTATTTTCAGTCCCAGTGCAGGTTGTCTGCTGAGCCCATGCCCAAGGACAGGATTAAAAGGCGAGTAAATGCACTGCGGTGATTCTCCCAAACTCCCTTCACACCAGTGCATTTGGACAGCCCACTTTTCTTCCTGGCTGACAGAACAGAAAATGGCTATTCGGGATTTGCTCCTTATCCAAGGCCACAATGCAGAGCAGAAAAAGTTTGTCCATGTATAAAATTTGTTATTTTGTCTGTGTAGGGCAGATACATGAAGCTTCTCATTCCCAAAGCTCATGCTAATCTGAATTTTATTGAGTACAGCCTATCTCTCCTGCTTGTCTTGAAACTCAAGATATTTATATATCATGTTACTTGAGAAAATACACAGTTATGCAGCAGAAGTAATAAAGATGACAAAAACAACAGATCTTAATTCTGTGGCATCAAATGTATTTTCACCAGCTGACTGATCTTAATGGTTAAAGAGTCAAGATGGTTTTTTAATTGTTTCAGCAGTCATTCAAACATCTCCGACAGGCCCAAATATTTCAGTTAGCATGCCCTGGATGGTGTGCCAGAATTATAACACAGCTTCCAATTAAAATTACAGCAAATCACTTTTAAGTACCAACAGAGTCAGTTTTGAACCTCAGTTCTTGCCCAAGCTGTGCTTACCCCCCAGTACACAGACAAAGCCCAGCCTCAGCATCTAAGCTCTTACCTGCACAAGGAAGATGATGAGGAAGTAGAAGTTGGCAATTCTTCTAAACTGCTCAAAAAGGTTCTTCGGGAGGAAGTTCCAGAGGGTGTACTGCGGGGAGAGAGGGGGCTCACAAAACAGACCAAGGCATGGGGTTGACTGGGGACTAGAGCTACAAAACGGGGAGTATCTGAACAAAATCAGAAAGGAGTTTTCCCTGCACCGCAGTGAGCTGTCAGAGCAGCCCAGCATGCTCCAGGCAAAATTCCAGGCCCCTGCTTTGAAACCGGGATCGTGATGTAGCCGGATGCTGAGCTGCCCTGAGCTCCTGCTTCTGCGCCCAGCTCCGGCTCTGTCCCCTGGCTCAACTGAACAGTTGGAAGCGTCTCTCAGTTACGTGGGAGTTTTTTGTTTGTTTGCTTTAAAGTAGGCAACTATTCCTCTTTTGTCAAAACAACCCAAACCACACGGTTGGAGATGGTAAAGAGTAAAAGAAGATAAAAACAACAGAACTGTTGCAGCAGAAAACTTCTAGGAAGGCATTTGTGGAGACATGATTTCATGAAGAGGCAACGCACAGTGCAAAGGGGTTTTTTCTCCAACCAAGTTAAAAAAAAAAAACCCTTGGAGTTGCTTTTCTAAGAAAAAAAAAAAGCCATGTTGCCCATACAAATTTGTTATTAGGTTGAGCTTCAGGATCAATTTAAGGCGGCTGCTGAATCGTTTGCTTGGAAAACGTTTGGAATTTAAGAACAACATGGAAAATGATGGGTCTAATATCTGATCTTTCAGTCTGCCTTGAATAAACAACAAATAATAAGCAGCCAAGTATCAAGACCAGAGGAGGCCACGAAGATGCTCCGAAGGCTGGAGCACCTCTGCTATGGGGACAGGCTGAGAGAGTTGGGCTTGTTCAGCCTGGAGAAGAGAAGGCTCCGGGGAGACCTTATAGCACCTTCCAGTGCCTGAAGGGGCTACAAGGGTGCTGGGGGGGACTTTTTACAAGGGCCTGTAGTGACAGGACAAGGGGTAATGGGTTTAAATTGAAAGTGGGGAGGTTTAGATTAGATATCAGGAAGAAGTTCTTCCCTGAGAGGGTGGTGAGGCACTGGAACAGGTTGCCCAGAGATGTTGTGGATGCCCCATCCCTGGCTGTCTTCAAGGCCAGGCTGGATGAGGCTTTGAGCAACCTGGTCTAGTGGAAGGGGTCCCTGCCCATAGCAGGGGGGGTGGAACTAGGTGATCTTTAAGGTCCCTTCGAACCCAAACCATTCTATGATTCTAAGACCAATGTCCACTAGTCAGTTAAGAAGACTCCATGCCTAGAAAATACAAATGGAAAAAAAGAGGAAGGACAACATTCAAAATTAAATTAGGGAAGAATTAAAATTAGTGCTAAAACAAACCATTTGTCAGAAAGGACATTGAAACAGGGGAAGGTGCTGTCTCTGAATAACCCTCGAGTGTTTTAGATCAATGGGAATATTACACGAGTTAAACATGGTTTGAATTAAAACTTTTGCCCAGTATAAACTCAGACAGCTCAGAGACATAAAAACAAATCACACCCTGGCTGTATAAAAAAGAATGGAGGGAAAAATCCCCTTACAGCTCCAGTACAGTAACACTGAAGCCTAACTGTATGCTGAGCATCATGAATCCTAAGCAACATAGTATGTATCCAGCTGTGTTGACAATATGGGATGCCACTTGTTTGATATTTTACTCGAATTGGCTTCAAATCTTTTGAAATAGCTTCATGAATGTCATGGAAAAAAGCTAAGCAGAAGGCAAAAGGGTGTCATCACAGTTTTCCACCATAAACAAAAGCTGCATTAATACCGTATGAATGTTCCCCCTTTCATCCAAAGGGATAAACAGAGCATGGTTATTTTCGTCCTATCTCAAGAGAGAGAAAACCCACAGAACAAAAAAAACAACCCCCAAAAAACCAAAAAGGGAATCATTTTTCTGCTTGTGTATCAAATAATGCCTACTGCCTTTTGCAAATCTGAGCTGCTGTCATGTCTTAGGCTGCACTAGACTTAACCTGTCCTTCCTTCATGAGGGGAATGCCAGAAAACGATTTAAAAAACCCTCACCCCAAAACCCCGATGAAACCAAAGTGTCCATGTGCTTTCTTCTCATCCAGCCTAGACGAAAGAGACATGTATGCCCTCCCACTAGGATTGACAGGAAGAAACACCAGATTAACAGAGAGGCTGGAGCTGTGGTGTAAGGTATAGACCAGGCTGCTCCGCTTGCAAAGGGACCTTTGCGTCCATCCTTGAGGAATGCAAAGTTTCTCAATTTCACAACCACCCATCAATAAAATCAGGGTAACGCACGAGCAGGGAATACCTGTGCACGATGCACCGGCTCCAGCTCACCTTGGATGAGACAATCCTGTTGTCGCAGAACTTCTGTGCCACGTACGCATCTGTTTCCGAAACTGGACGGTGTCCGACCACCACGGTGCGTGTACCGACTCGCTTCTCTTCCCCGGCACACTGTCAGGGCAAGCAGGAAAGGGAAAAATTAACTCCGGGGTCAAAAAAGTCGAATATCTGTATTAACACCTTCCAGCTTCTGAATGCACCGGGCTGTTCACTGGAAATAAGGCAGCTGGAGCCTCACTTTTCTACCCCAGCGGAAGCACAGAAAATGAAGAGGCATACGTAAGGTCATTTAGCAAAACCAAGGCAATGCTGAGCCTGCAGCCTGGGGTGCTCACCACTGCCCAGGCAGCGACCCCCCAGGACCACAGCCCATCCTACACCCCGCGGGGCAGGTCACTGCTCACGTCCACCGCGCCCCTGCCTCAGGCAGGACGGCTGCTCTCTGCACCTGCAGCCTCTGCCCATCTGCCAGGCAACTTGTCCTGCTTGAAGAGAATATATCTTTATCAAGCAATTCAAGTCATGAGGAATATAATTTATCTTCTACACGTCTCTTCCTAGTCCTGACTTGGAGTTCTTTAGCCTTGGGTTTCTACAGCAGCCCCAGCCTCCACCCCAGGACCCCACAGAGGACGATGGAAACTGCACCCTCCTTTACACTTGCTCTCTGGTCAAACTCTCAAGTCCACCCAAAAAGCCTCGCCACTGCACTGGTGCCCAAAGACTTGGGATTTAGCTTAAAAAAAAGGTATGCTTCCGCTATTTTAAAATCTGGGATAAACACAGAAATAACGAAGCAGAGAGTCTCGCATCACGAACTCCTCCAAAAGACCCACGGGGTGCTGGGGTTGCCAGCTTCTCTCGCTGGGGGTTTATTTTAACGCAGAATGAGATGTCGCAAGCAAACCTGAACCTGGTTGTCACTGGAGCTTGACGACAGCCCCTCTGTTCCACAGCAGCCAGGGGAAGGACGAGGGGAACTGCAGCAGAAAGAACTCGGAGGGGAAGCAGAGCGGCTCCGCGGGAGGAGAGCATCCCTTGCACGGCGCTACGAGGGACACTTGCAACCGGCAACATGGGGCTCTAGCAGAGACCCAGCCGTGGCCGTAGTCCTTGCAGGCTTCCCAGGGGAGGTCATGGCACCCAGCAAAGATCCCAATCCAACAGAGATGGTGTTAAAGGAACACAAAGTAAACAAGGTATCTGAATGCAATGAAAGTAACAGCTCTCTTGTAATTAAATGTAACCCTTGCATATCAAATTTCCAACTTCCTATAAGAACACTCGCAAACTCGTGACAGGCGGTGCATGTCCCTGACACTGCTACAGCCCTGGGGAAGGCTCTCAGGCAGACAAGCAATGCTTCCATCAGCTCCCACCTCTGGGCTGCCCAGCACATGCAAGGTCCTTGATGGACCAGAAAAGTCTATTTTAAAAAGAAACAAAACTGTGCAATAGTTTTAAAATCAGCTTCTCATTCTGTCCAGGTTCCACCTTGCATATAAGTGTCCCTGCCACAGATGCTCGCAGCCATGGGAGCAGATCCAGCCAGCACCAGGAAGCGTTTGGCAAGGCTGAACTTAAAATTAGAAGGTGAACTTAAAATGCCCACTAAGTGGAGATGTAGCGGGGGAAAAAGAGTTGTCTTAAGCCAGGCTATGGTTTTCTCAGAGTTAAGGTTTTGGATTTTAAAACATGAGCAGGGAAGATACTTGTCACTGTTCGTGGTTCAAGGGCATTAGCAGGCAGCAGGACTGCTAAAACACCAGTGGATACCGTTCATACTCTACTTAGTCTTATTAATCCTCAACCCTAGAGCTTGTTTGCTTTGAAACCCCACCAGGGCAGGTGCCAAAAATGCCAAATCCCTATTCCATGTCAGCTGCCCAGTATAGGCTCAGCTCACCACAGGCAGATGCTCCTGGCATGCCCCGGGTCCAGCTCAGCATCTCAGTTGTCTGAAGGGGCCATCTCAGGCAGCTTGTCAAGCTGCACCCAAAATTCAGCTAGAGAAAAGGTGCATGAAAAACAATCACACTAAGACAGCAAGGCCTGGGATTAACTGCTGCTTGGGGAAAGTGTAAGAAAATAAATAAACAACGATTTTTGGAAAAAATCTAAGCCAGCCCTATTCACGTACCTGGAGCAGCAGCAATTGAACGGATCCTGTTGCACTGGGAGCACCGTCTGCTCAAAGGAAGCGTCAGCTCTTCCTTCCCCCTGCTCCCCACCCATGCCTGCAGCATCTTTAATTCAAGAAGTGTTTTTTACACCATGCCTAAACCCGGCTCGGTGTGCTGACCGCTCTCTTTAACCCTACAGCCGTCCTCAGACCTCCGGCGGCAGCTGCTTAGAGCAAAAGAAAGTTTCTCGCACCATGTCCCTGCACCGTTGCGATGCGGAGCCAGCAGCAGCCACCAGCACCCCCGGAGCTGCTGCCACCTCCAGCGCACACAGCCGGCCCCCCAGACACAGACCAGGCAGGCACACGCTCCCAGCCAGGGAATGCCACCACCCAGGCACAGGCTGACCACCCTCCCAGCCCCACCATCACCAGCAGCAAACAGCACTTCTGAACTAGAAACCAGACCCAAAAAAGGGTCCCTGATGTATGTGCTGCCTTAGGGACTGTCCCCAAGCCCGAGGTTCCCGTCACATCCCCGGGCAGGAGCCGGCACCAGGCATGCCGGGCGAGCATCCCTCCAGCGCACGGAGGAAACGAGAGCTTCCCCTGCCCGCAGAGCGGTGGGAAAGGGGTTTGCCAAACACACGCGTTGGCACGGAAGCAACAACGCTCTGGTTAAAACCCTCCTTGAAAAATACACACAAGTATTTAGTCTGCAAGACTATCCATAGCTAGCCATGGAAAACACGGAGCATGCGAAGAAGAGAAGCCAGACCCTAGGGGTGGTATGTTAGCTAACCAAGCCCACCACTCTCTCTTCCACCAATTCCCAGGTGAGCTTTCACCCCTCAACTCCCCTTCAGTTATTTATTTGATGCATCTCCTACAAAGACGACCCCCTCCACGGTGCAGCAGAGGGAGAAGTCCTCGCGACATGCTCTAACCAGACTCCCACCGCTCCCAGCATTTCATTTCCCATCCTTGGACCACCCCACGGTGTCACACCATCACGCAGCCGTGCGGGCAGCTGGAAGGCTTCAAGCCACAGCTCTCCATTTTTTTTCTTCACCTCCCAGAAAGCGAGCGGACGCGACGACAGCACGTCACGACCACACCCACGGCGAGAGGCGTTGGATTAGGTCGGCAATTACAAGCTCTTCTTCTGACAAGCCCACCTCAAAGAGCTCGCCCGGCTGCTAACAGGTTGCCAAGTCTTAATAACGGCTCTCAACAGAGACTTACAGGGAGTAACTGCCATGCTTTTGGGAAAATCATAAAATATGCAGATTAGCAGGGAGAGGATTTAGATGACTTTTCCTGACAGCCTTTCATCAAAAATCTTAATTCTGATGGCAAAATAAAAAGAAAATATTACTTGGATACAATTCAAAGGGCTGCCTCTGGTGGGGTTTTATTATGCCCGTGCTACAGGGCGCAGAGTTTCTTCCGCTGTTTAGAGCCAGGCATGCCAAGAGGATTATTTAAGAAAATAAACAATTGCATCCTCCCCATATGCACTTCAGCGCCTCCCTCTGCCTGAGGCGTGGTGTTTGCAGGAGTGCTGGGAGAATATCCATAGGGATCAGCAGCGCCAGACTGCCCACCGCCTCGGGATGGCATGGTGGGAAGCCGCCCTGCATCCTCCCACCCAGCCACGAGGATGTGGGGATGCTGGTAGGCGAGCCCAGAGCCCTCTCTGCTGTACTGTGCCCCAGCAACCCAGAAGAGCGCCCAGCAGCTGGCAGAGACACAGCAGCACCCCAGGGGACACCGCACGCCCCAGGAATCCAGAGGACGTATTTTTGAGAAGAGCCACTACCCTGTTTGCATCACTTGAAGACCAGCCCCAAAGACGCGGGTCTCCTGTGACGTTTCAAGCTTCAGTCCAGGGCTCCTGCTCCACTCCCTCGGCATCTACCCAAGCCCACCAGCGAGTCAGCCTCTCAGCACAGCATCCACACCAGATCTGCGCTGAAGGAGCTCAGCTGGAAGACAACAGCCAGAGTCAAACACAAATCACAGGAGATAAAAACGAGGCTGGCGAAGATGTTCTGCCAGGAACATCTTTCCGACTTGGCAGCTCACGTTCTACCTTCGCTTCCCACCTCGGGCAGGAGCAGGCGCCCAGGCTGCAGTAACAAATAACTGCATCGTCACCACTGATGCAGACACACGTGGCAGGGCAAAGGGCTGCTGCCGCGGTACGGCCCTCCTCGTGCCGGAGAGGAACTTGGATACAGAGCATATTTCTGTTAAATATTTTGGTGTAACCCAACCCTCCTATACTTTACTTCCAACTTTGTTTAAAGGCCACCTAATGCCAGAAGCAGCCGTTTCAAAAAGAAGGCATTAGGGATAATAGCCATCTTCTTAGGCTGTCCAAATTTTAAAAGCCCATTTACACACATCAATGTGCCCACTGAAGGTCAGCAGAAGCTTAGCATTTCACTGCAAACTTTTCTTTGAGGAGCTAGGAACAGGTATGATTTGAAGGCATTAGACCAGAGCTAAAAATGCCCACGGACGCAACTAATGACCCAACATCGTTTATGACTTAAAGCCACTGAAGCATTGGTGATGGAAGAATTATGTTTGCAGCCCACTGTGCTCCCAAAATTGCCTGAGTTTGGGCAAGCCTCCCTCTGTGCCTCTTTCCCCTCTCCCATAAATGTGTCCTGCCCTGGCACGACAGCTCCCGCCAGCCTCCTGGAGAGGCTCCTCTTTATCCACTCTCCCAAATTTCTGGGAGTCCATCATAGCACCATGTACAGGATCCGACCAGCACTTGCTAAAAGTTGCAAACCTAGGTAAAAATTTGCAAGTCTGGCTAAAAATTAATGCAGTTAGACAGAGTTCAACAGGAGAGGTGAACCTGCGCTCTGCAGCCGCTGTTGACAACGAGCCACTCTATGTGGGCTATTTCTAGGGCAGCTGCAAAACAGTGTTTAATTTTATCTCCCATATGGAAAACAAATGTCTGTGCTACCTGCTGGCCCCATTTCCAGAAAGAAAGAGTGGCGCACACACACAAAAAAACCCCACCACACGACCATTTGATTTACTATAGTTTCAGAAAGCACCTAAACCAGAACTAATCGAAAGAAACTCCTTTCATGTTTGCTGAAGATATCTTCAAGCCACAAAGTAAACACAAATAACTCATAGAAAAAAAGATCTAATAAAAACCTCAGGCATTTAAAAAAAAGTCATTTGCTAAAACCAGAGATAATTATACTGCACAAGTACAAAGCTCAAACACTTGAATGAAATCACAGCTTATATTAAATATATGCAGAAGATTAAATCGCATTATTTGGCTTAGATCTCATGAATAGTTTAAAGTCTAACCACTCCTCTATTGTTCCATTTATCATAAAAGTAGTAGAGAACACGACCTGATTTACAGAAAAAGCCTGCAAAAATAACACCACCTCCCAAAACAGACTGTTCTAGCTCCCGTTTCATTTATCCCCAGGAAAAAAAAAAAACCCACCAAACAAATAAACCACATCCCCAATTTTAAAAAGCCTCCTCAAATTTACCATAACCTCCCCAAACTGGCCAGCAGTCTCAGGGTAGCTCAGCACACCGACCTCGTTGCCGAACCGATATATTTTTAATTGAAATCTTTCTTGCCAGTTTTTCTATCACTCGTTGTCCTATGCAAGTACAAGCGATGCTTTCAGAAAACCCTTAATAATTTAGCAGCTCGGACTATGCTTACCCACATAGACCACATTTTTAGGCAGATCTCCTGATCTGCAGAGCGCGCTCCATCGATCGGGATCAACCCCACCGCTCTCCCCTACGTTTGGGGGTAAGGGTCAATAACACGTACCGTCCCCAGGGTAAAAAAAACATTGCACGTAAAGTACTAAGAGCCCATAGGTCCAAAAGAAGGGGCTGAAGGCGAGCACAGCTCTGAGCTCTTTTCTCACTGGAGAGGGTTTTTGCTGCTCAACCCTAAGCAGAAGAGGGAAGGCGACCTTGGGAAAGTAAAAGGTTGAAATTTAAACCAGTTTCCCTTCTCCTACGTTGAGGGTGAAGCTCCTACTGATATTTCAACCATAAAGAAAAGAGTATCACCAAGGAGTGCCAGCCAGGGGTAAGCTGGCTCCAGCCAAGGTGAGGGGGGAAGCAGGGGGCTAACCATCCGAACCCCCAGATCAAGCAGAACAAGCAGCAAGAGCAAAAGAGCCATGGGAAAAGGACCAATATGTTTTTAAAAAACCACGGTCAACACATGTTGAGGTTCAACACCCAGAGCTCATCCCTGGTCCCCATTGGGGATGCCAAAACAGTGGATGATGTGCTCTACCAGAGCTCCACTCACATCACACCATCCCTAATGTGATGTGCATCCAGCAACACAAGAGACCCTGGCCAGACCCTGTCCCCATGTCCCCTCTGTCCCACGGGCATGCTGCCTCACCATATGAGCTTGCAGGAAGGTCACCTTCACCAAGGACGACGGGCTGGAGAACAGCAGAGCCCAGCCAGGCTGAATTTCCCAGAAAAGCCGACAGCCAATAAAGCCACCGATAAAAGCAGAGAGAGACACGGTGGGGCAGGGAACACGGGAAAGGGCTACTTGAAAGGTTTAAGAAGGGTGGAGAGAGGAAATACAAGAGTTTTTCCTCCCCCAGATAAACGTACAGGAGGGCCCAGCCCTATCCCAGCCCCAGGGAGTGCCACACACAGCGGTGACAGCCAAAGAGACCTTTTTTGGTGTGGGGTTTGGTTTGTCTGGCTGCGGTTTTCTTTTTCCATGTGCAGGCAGTCTACCCCCAAATCACGCAGTAGCGCATCTTCCAGCAGACATGCCACATCGTCCCTAATCACAGCAGAAAGTCGGGACCACACGTGACGCAAAAAGCCAAACCCAGGCCAACGCCAGCAGACAGCGACTGGAATGGCATTACGTCAGAGCTGCCTTTTTTGGTGGAAAATCTGTTGCTCCTCTTCAAAGATAACCGCCGACCTTCAGAACTCCCCCCCCGCCCTGTTGGCAGCTGGGGTTATGAAACCATCGCTCATCTTGAAATACAGGCAGCATATTTCTATTTTTGGCAGCCCAAAAAGAAAAGTTCGAGCAGCACGCTGCTGGCATTGAAAATTCAGGCTCATAGGAACACTTCAGACTCGAGAACAGAAAAAGGCCTTTAAATAAGAGCTCAAGCGTTCTGCAGAGGTCACCCCGCCCTGTTGGCAGCTGGGGTTATGAAACCATCGCTCATCTTGAAATACAGGCAGCATATTTCTATTTTTGGCAGCCCAAAAAGAAAAGTTCGAGCAGCACGCTGCTGGCATTGAAAATTCAGGCTCATAGGAACACTTCAGACTCGAGAACAGAAAAAGGCCTTTAAATAAGAGCTCAAGCGTTCTGCAGAGGTCACAAAGCAAATACGAGGTCTTCCCGTCTTCAACCCTCTTCCTCCCTCCTTTCCCCGGCTCCAGCTGTGCACACATGTCTGCTCATCTGCAGCTATTTTAGCAGGGCAGCGAGCTCTTCACAGCAGTGATTTGTCCTGGTAAAAAATAAAAAGCAAACTGGAAAAAAAAAATCCCTCCAAGTTTGCAATTGTCAATGCTTGCATCAGCCAGCAGAGCTATAATTTGTTGGTTTTCCCCATGGCTTTCTGGTCCTCAGAAAGCCTGAATTCTTCAGTTATGGAAACAAAAAAAACCCCTAAATACTAGGTTACACATCCCAGCTGGGCCAGACATTACTCTGACCTCTGCCACCTAAAGACATTTCGCCCCTTTCAAAGTTTTCCCAGCATTTCAGTGCCAGGCTGCCGGCTGACCAGCAAGAAGCCCGTTTCCCAGAGCAGTTTCCTCCCTTCCCCACGGGAATTGAGCCCGCCCGGCGGCCCACTCGCTGTGGGCAGAGGCTGAGGACCCCCTTGCCAGGGGGTACAGCACCACTGCAACACCCAGAAGCAAAGGCTGGTACCCAGGGGTGCCCAGCCTGCACCCCCAATGTCCAGCTTTGCTCCCCCATTTCCCACACAACAGTCCATGAGAGGGACAGGAGGGCAGGTCCAGGCTGCTAAGGGTGGCCGAGCCCCACACCAGCATCACGGGCTGACCGAGCCCTGCACCAGCATCATGGGGTGCCCTCCACCCCTGCAACGGGTACCCAAGGTCCCAGTCCTCCCAGGCTGCTCACTCACGCTGGTTCAGACTAAGTTTTTCCATTCCAAAAAAGTAAAAGCTGTGGTTTTCTATCCCTTCCCTTGCTATAACTGCAGAGAAAGATTTCCACGGAAGTAGCAGGAGATAAAAGGGGGAAGAGAGGGAGAAATCACCCATTCCAGCCCTTGCTCCACAGCCAAAATCAGCTCCATATGCCCCAGACCCCATGTGGAGTATTTTCACCTCTGGCTACAACAGTAAGCAACCGATTCATGCCTGGGCCTACAGGCAGTTAAACCAGGATAATGGATCAGCACAATTCACCCCGTCAGGAGAGAAACCCTCAACACACGGCCTAGAATTGTTTATCTCAGGAAATCCTTTTGGCTCCCGTTCCTGCCGGGCTGGGTAACGTAGCTGCAGAGCAGCTCCAGCAAAGCACACGCTGCCCAGGGCTGACCGAGCGACGCCAGCGGCACAGCAGCCAGGTTTTGCACCGGGAGGGAAATCCGCTTATCCACAGAGACCCAGAGATGAGGTCTGAGCTGGCTCTGGGATGTCAGGCTTGGAGCATGAGGGGTTTTGGTGTGGTCCATCCCTGCACCCTGAGCTGCAGAAGTGAGCCCATCCTGTGGAGGAAAACAGGGAAGCATCCCAGGAGATGGTCATGATGACTCACAGCTATCCCACCCCTCCAAGCCATCTTCCCCAGACAGGCACTGGGATAAGGGCACTCCTGCTCCCACAGCTACCAAGACAAGTGCCTTCACCCAAGGTTTTCCCTCTCCCCACAATGGCACCTGTCAAGCAGAAAGTCCCACTTCCATCCACTCAGCTGCACTGGGAGAAACCACCCTGCAGAACTAATGAACTCCACAACATTAAATTGGCTAAAACAAAGGACGACAGCCATCTGGGCCTCACGGTTAATTTTACTGCGCTCCCTCCCTGAGCAAACATTTGTAAGAAAAGGTGAACTGGAAGGAAGGGGGAGAAAAAAATAAAATAAAAACCTTCCACAACTCAGAGTGAACAAAGCTGGCATGCAAAACACCACCCGGCGAGCCAAAACTAAAAATCAATATTGCATTTTAAGCTTGGCTTTGCAGCCCCTGTACAAGCAGGCACCCCCAGCACAGCCCCAGCAGCACTCGGGTCCTCGCATCACCCCTGGTCCCAACAGGCAGCAGCCACTTGGCTTTGTGCAAACGTAGAAATCGTAACAGAAGATGGCTGCTCACAAAGTGGGGGTTTTTTCCCCACATTTAATTTCCCAGCAGTGAGATTTCCCCTGCCACTGCCTCCCCTTCTTAAGCCAATTGAGACTCAGGCGACAAAGCACAACATCGCTGCAGTCTAGCAGTACTTATTTTTTATTAGTGCTGAAAATATTTGGATTGCAATTCAAAAGAAAAGCTTCAAATTGTCTAGTCTTGCCTGTTGCACGCCTTACTCGGCTTTTCTAGATCCTGCACTGTACAAGAAAAATCAGATCCCTGTTTTGTAAATCAGTGCATTTGCCACAATATTGCCAACAAATGACATCTACCACGTGAGCGTTGCCCGTTTTCCACTACAATGGTCTTACAAAATCTCATTAAGGT